TCCGCGTCAGTAAGTGTGCGTGAGCAAAAGGCAACTGGCCGCAACTCTCCATCATGTTCTTGTAGCAGTGCAGCCTCGAGGCCATAACTGCTGGCGTCGGCGCTAACCACTGTCGGCTTATTAGCATTGTAATAACAAAGAGCTGGTGCTGCTACAAGCATTGATTTGGCTTTGTTGAATGCTCTCTCCTGGGGTTCACCCCAAACCCATACAGTCCCTTTCTTCAGCAAGTCAGTCAGCGGATATAACACTGTGGACAGACACGGCAGGAATTTCCCAACATAGTTCACCATTCCTAGCACCTGCCACAGCTGCTCCACGTTTGTAGGACAGGGCATCCTAGCAATAGCCTCCACTTTGCTTCCATCTGGCTTTACACCATCCGCACCAATGACGTGTCCAAAGAATTGCAGTTCAATTTTCCCAAAGTGACACTTGGCCCTGTTCAGCTTGAGACCAGATGCTTTGACCGTCCACAACACCGCGTCCAGACGACGGTCATTCTGCTCCTTAGTAGACCCATAAACCAGGATATTGTCCATCACGACAACAGTTCCTTCTAGATCTACGAGCAGGTTACTCGTCAATCTCTGAAAAATCTCGGGAGGGGATGCAATCCCAAATGGCAGACGTTTGAAGCAAAACCGGCCCATTGGTGTAATGAATGTGGTCAGTCTTTGGCAACTGGGGTCTAATGGAATTTGCCAGTATCCACTTGAAGCATCCAGCATGAAGAAAACCTTAGCTTCAGCTAGCTTGAGCGTTATGTCGTCAAGTGTAGATAGAATATAATGTTCACGCCCCTGTTCAAGCGTTTTAAATCTACACACACTCTGACCTCATCCTTGTTGCGTTTTGGAATGGGCACCATCGGGGCACACCAGTCTGTCAGTTCGGTGACCTCTTCAATGATCCCCAGAGTTAGCATGCACTTTAGCTCTTTCTCCACCTTTGGAAGGAAGGGAAAAGGAACTCTGCGTGGCGTATTGACGCTGTACGGAATTGCTTCCTCTGTCAGCTCAATTTCAACAGGCCCACAATTCAGCAGTCCTATTTCCCTGAACACATCAGTAGACAGCATGTAGTCACTACTGATAGCATTGACCCGTTTGACCAGTCCCATTCTTTTTGCCACTGCTCTGCCTAATAGGTTGCTAACGAACTGTCCTTTAATAATGGTTATCCAGTGCTGATATCCTCGACCTTTGTAGGTAGTGGTACTGAGAAACCTACCAACACATCTGACTTTCCCTCCCAGGCTGTACACTGTTGGTCTGGACTTATTCGGTTTTTGCTGTATATTTTTAAAAGTCGTTTCTGTCATAACAGTAGTTTCTGCACCCGTGTCAATTTTAAAATCCACTGGGCTGCCATTCACCAGTAGCTCAATGTCCCAGTCATTGCCTGAATCTGACTCCTCAATGACATTTGATTGTGTTTTCGCTCTCCACAAGAGTTCACCAATAAAGAACGAATCCTCATCTAAATCCATAACAGTTTCTGTTCTGACTTCTTTTAACATTTTAGTTTTACACATTGCGTCAAAATGTCCCATTTTGTTACATTTTCTGCAGCTTTTGTCTCGAGCTGGACAGTTTTCTCTTTTGTCGTGTATTCCATTGCATCTTTGACATCTCCGTTTAAACTCGCTGTATTTTGGTGCCTGTGGCTGTCGTGACTTATCATAGCTTCTCTTTGTGCTGTTAAACTGTTTCTGTCTCACCTCATTCACCGTAGTTTCCACGCATTCTGTACTTTGTAGCTTCACCTGTTCGCTCTGACGTGCTAGCTGGATCGCTCTCTCCAGAGTCAAGTCCGCCTCTAGTTGGAGCTTCTGAGAAACCTCCTTATCCATTATTCTGATGACAATCCGATCCCGGATCTGCTCGTCCTTCCCTGCGCTGAACTTGCAGTGCTGCGTGAACTCATATAAGCTCCGCACGAAGGCTTCGACCGTCTCACCAGCCCTTTGGCTCCTTTTGTTAAAACAGGCCCGGTCATGGATAATGTTTCTTTTTGGAACAAAGTGTTCGTCAAACTTCTGTATCGTTAGAGCAAATTCATTCTCCAGGTGTGGCATGTCTTCCGTTGCAGCCGGAAACACAAAAGAACCGTAAATAGGTTCAGCATCTCTCCCCATGGAGTACAGGAGCGAATTTACCTGCACTTCACCGCTCTCTCTGTTGAGCTTCGATGCTATTCTGAAGCGAGAAAATCGCTGTTGCCATGTCGGCCACTTCGCAGGCTGTGTACAATCAAACGGCTCTGGCAGTCCAAACTTTGCCATTGTGTTTCCAAAGTAAGCGTAAAGTCCTTAATTCTGACACCATGTCATGTTATGAAGAACGACTCAGGAGGCCTTTCACCAGGGGAGCTTAATTCACTCCGTCTTTATTAGCTACAGCGCCAAGTCACACGCGTGTTCACTCTTGCTCGAATCCCCTCAAACACCCCCTGCAACTCCCTGGCGACCCCTAGTGGTTATAGAACCAAACTACCATAACTCAGAATAAACAATAGTCTAATCTCACAACAGTCACAGAATATGATAGTGCTTATCAGATATTGTGACCACACTGTAACTTATAGAAAAACATTAAATACTTCAGCCAAACTGTTTCTGCTGACTCTCTACTTCCTCTTAGGAATAAAAAGTAACAGCTGACCACTAATATCATGAGTATTATGAAAATATTAACGGTCACAGAATATGATAGCTTTTATCAGATATTGCAAAGTATGGTGTAAAAATGCAACAGCACCCCTACGGTCACAACATACGGTGGTCAAAATATGGTGCAACACCTGTTACCGCCGGCTCTTTGCTCATTAAAACTCTTCAGAATTAAATTTCTTCAAATTAAGTTTGTTCAAACTGTTTTTAACACAACATTGGCAGTATCCTTTTACATTAAGCAGGTTTTTATCAGGGTTCTTTGTCCTGAACAAACAATAAACTAGACACAAAAATGAGTCAGAAGTTGAAGCCAAAATAAAGAGCGCCCCCTTGTGGCTGAATACAGTGAATTTAAACTCAATGAAAACAAGTGGGGTGTTTTCCTAAGATTAAAAATGAGCCACTGGAGTTGATTTCTATTGATTCACATAGTTCTTACCTCGCTGTTATAACATTAAAATCTTAATTTTTCTACTTTTACTCGTCTAGTTATTTGCTGCTTAAAAAGCCCCAAGTAGGTGCACCACATGCTGAAGTAGTGGAGCGCAAAATCATTATCCACGACTTGCACAGAGTTGCACTTTTCCTGTGGGCTATCTTTAACAAACTTGAAATAATGACGCCTGCTGTCAGGTGCACGCTCGGGTCCGCACCCCGCTCTCAGCTGCGGTGGAAGAATGTGCAGCCCCAAGAAATGAGAAGATAAAAAGCTGAAGCGAGGTGCGTGTCCACATCACCACCATGGGAGAACGCAGCGGATGAGCCAGAGAGATGAGGTTACACTGGACATCACTCAAAAGCATGCTATGGCCGATGAGCGAGATTTGCTGGGATTTTGGAAAACTCAAATGTGTACCCAAAACTGGCCAAACTGGTGAGATCTGTGCTCTGCGTCGCAGCAGCGAGTTTTCACTGCGCAGCTGGCCGCACAGACAAGGACTGCGTTCAAATACAGTGGATGCAATATTGTACTTGACATGTAAAACTGTGTTTGTAGAAATAAATTCTTCACAGATTTTTAAATATATTTATAATTTTGTTTTTAGGCAACTGGGGTCTAATTCCAGCTTTATTTTGCAGGTTCATAGCAGAAGAAACGAGGCTGTGGCTGATTATGACAGACCCGGCACAAAGCCAACTTTATATGTTCGCTTTTTATTTTGTTCATGTTTGTGCATTAAAATATTTGTGATCATTTTTATTGTTCTTTTATCACTCCCGTTATTGGATGGATGAGCTGAAAGAACAGCCAGAAACGAACTAGTTTGACTTTTCTTTCAGCCCTCCATCTTTACCCGATGTCTGTTTGTTATAGATATTTTGTTTATTAAAGTATTAAATGAGCATTGTTGTAGAATGTCGGCCTTTTTTCAGTTTATTGTTCATGCACACACCAGTTTTATTCTGTGATGTGGGTGAACGTTAACTCGCTCCGTCATCAGCTGACAGCGTGACTTAATTTTGCACGACTTTATTTAAATTAAAATAGTCTTGTTCTACTTTTCCAAATAATTTTGCTCTAAAAGTATTTTTGTTCATCTGTATCTTGTGTCTTTAGAGTTGATTTTTAGGCTGTTAGATTTGTATGTTAATATACATTTAGTGATTTGTTAATAAAAATCAGTCTTACATCTTCCTTTTGTTACGTTTTTAAAACGATCATGTCAAACTGATTTGCTTACAAAAGCAGTAAAAGCTTAATTTTCAGTTCGGCCCTCTAATTACCGGTAATCCATTCGGGCTGAATTTATTATGCCCGAATGAAACTCTAAATCTCACTAAACCTCCTTCAATCAACAAACTTTTACATTTTCGTAATAAAACCAGAGAAAGAAATTCCTGAGTTTTAATTAAAACTGTAACAAAGCTGGTAATTAACGAGTAGATTTCTATCAAACATTTGGTGTTTAAAATAAATCGATCTGAATCAAAAAGAATAAATTCAGATTGCACGGTCTGAAAACCAGAACAGAAAAAGAACCAGTTTGGACCCAAGTAGTTTGCTGGTTCTGATCCTCCAGGTGTTTAAATCTGATCCAGGCAGAGAGCAGCAGCTCCTCTTCCTCAGACAAGATTAGCCCAAAGGTGGCGGCTACATCAGGAACTGTCGGAGCGGGTCGGTCCAGGACCTGGAGCAGATCTGGACCTGGGAGCTGGAGGCATAGCACCACTGAGGAAGTACCGGGCCCCGAAGAAACAGTTCTACGAGAACAAGTAGAAAAAAATATTTATTTGGTGTAAAACACTTGAGTGAAGTCTATTTGTGTAGAAAGAACACAAAAACAAAAAAAAAGACGCTGAGTCATTCTTCATCAAGCGCTGAGTCGTGCTGTTAGAGGGTCGTAGGGATCAGAGAGGCACCGTCCGACAGGGTGGCTCTGCAGATTGGACAGGTGTTGTTGTCCTGCAGAAACAGGAGAGGGGGGGGGGGGGGGAGTGTTATCTCAGACAACAAAACAGAGACGTTCCACACAGTGAGAGGTCTCACTCTGTACAGAAAATCTGCAGAAACTGCTGAAACAGAAAACATGGAAATAAAAAGTCAACGAGTTTTGAAGCAGCCGAAAAATGTTTCTCCTTAAACAGAACTCTGAACCACAAAGTTTATGAGAACAAACAGTTCAAGAGACTCATTAAAAGAAGGTTAAGGTGAACTACCAACGGTGCAGTCTACTCCGTAGTTCTCCACATACAACGGTGGTTCAGAACTCAGTTCAAACAAACCCGCTTCAGCTGTTTCTGTGAGTAAACTAACTTTCTTCAACTGTTTATGTGGGTAAACTAACCTTCAG